TAAAAGCATAGAGCTTCTCTGCCCACTCCCTACCACCCATCCATCATCACCATTCTGACTCCTTAGTCACAATGGGTATTGACATTTTAAACAAATCCCAAGGCTCCTTTCCAGTAAAATGTGTGAAGATAAAGAAGATAATATTTATAAACTATTTTGAGTTCCTTAGAAGAAGGGTATCTTACCTCATTAAGGAAATATTATCATGATATAAATCTAGCATCATGAAATTTATCTCGGACATATCAAATTTGGTCTGAGAATCAAATGTAAAGGAAAATAAAAGCCACACAGAGTACCTGCATGGAAACACAGCCTGCTTTGGTTGTGTTCCTTTTTGTGGAGACAGATGTCCCCCTTCACTAGGACCAGGGTAGAGATGAAGAGGGTTGATTTGGACACTGGGGTGCTATATGTTCTTTTGGGACTGAAGTTCCATATTAGGAAACTTGACATTTACATAACTTTTAAACATCCCAAGCAGTACGCTCTGTCTGCACACTAACTTATATATATGCAATTTGTTTGTTTGTTTTGAAACAGGGTCTCACTTTGTCACCCAAGCTGGAGTGCAGCAAGCATGAACACAGTGCACTGTAGCCTCAATGTCCCAGGCTCAAGCAATCCTCCCACCTCAGTTTCCCGTGTAGCTGGGCCTGCAGGCACACACCACCATACCTGGCTAATATTTGTATTCTTTGCAGAGACTGGATTTCAACATGTTGCCCAGGCTGGTCTCGAACTCCTGAGCTCAAGTGATCCACCTGCTTTGGCCTCCCAAAGTGTTGGGATTAGAGGCGTGAGCCACTGAGCTCAGCCATATGCATTTTTTTAAAATTATGAACTTAACATAATTTCACAGGAGACAGACCTAAATGAGGTAGTTATTAAACTACTTTGTGACTATGGAAAGGTTTTCTGATCCTTGTAGTATATTTCCACATATATTGTTACATTGTTGTGTGTTTGTATTTAGTTGCTCATACTATTTTCTACTATAGCTTACTTTGTATGCAGGTTTCCATGGGTCAACCTAATTTATATTTTTGCCATTTTAAATGGAAAAACGATATCCCATGTATTTTATACTATTATTTGTTCAGTGTTCTTTCTGATGTGGGATGCTTTGGTCATTTCCAATTATTTGCTATCATGCTATTAGATACGGAGTTCTGATGTTCATTTTTGCTCAAAATTATATTTTTGTTTGTATGAATTCCACAGTGTATATTCCCCAAAGCAAGATAGTTAAAGAGTAACAACAGTTTTATAGTTCTGGTTGCATATTACAGTATTACTTTTCAGAGACACAGAGCCAATATACAGCCCCACCAGGGGTATGAGGCATGCTGCTTTTCCCACAGCTTGACCAACATGACATTTTATCATTCCAGCCTATTTCTGCTAGCTTAATATGTGTGTAGGGCCTCACTAGAGACATTTTATTTTGAAGTTCTTCAAGTGATATGAAGCAATTTTTTTTCCATGTGGAATGATTCACTATTTTCATTTTAGGGACAAACAATTCATTCATATTTGACAGTTTTGAAGTGACAGGTTTAATTGCCTTCTGTATAATTGGTTCTCTAGGGAGAGAAAATAGGAGTGCTATTGGGTATTGGGTTAGGCTCAAAGTGTCAAGAAGATTAGCTGTATAGTTCTGAATTAGGAAAGTCATACATGGAGGCCTGGAACAGAAATACCGGTTGGCCCTGTTTAAGAAGACTAGAGAGCAGGAACATTCTGATTTGATGATGACAAAAATACTGGAATTTTGGCATAGGACAGCAGATCTTGCTTCAAAACGAAAGCGAGACTCTGGCCCCCTTGCCTCTTTGATCCTCTCACAATGCTACTTTCTTTCCTGAACATTTTCAGATATTCTTATTTCAGACAGACCTCTCTGGTCTATAATAGGAACGGTTTTAGAATGGCCATGAAAGAAGACATGTTATTTGAGAGCTCTTGGGGGAAGACCTGGAGGCAGCAGTCTCAGGAGATGTCAGTCTTATCTGTAAAAAGGTCAGCTTGGTCACAGAAAAGGGCCTTGGGTTGGTTGTGTTGGCCCTCTGTGGCTTATGATCCTCTTTTCAAGTAAGCAAATAAATGATTGCAGTGTTGGTTTGAGTTCCTATGGTGCCAAACACAAGATACATTGTTGCTCATGCAATACAGATCTTTTGTTTTGGACAGTGGTCTAATCTGTTGATTTTTTAAAAATTGGTGACTGTCCACCTTATAATTAAAATCAGTCTATCAAGCACTTGGAGACAAAATCTGAAGTTATTCTTTCATTCCTAGTTGTCATACTAATTTTTTACTTTTGTCATAAACATACTAATTTGTCACTTTTGTCTCTGTAGAATATTTACACACACACCTATCTCTATCTATATAATTCTATCTAGACAACTCTACCTATATAATTCACATACTACAAAATTCACCCATGTGTACAGTTCAGTGATTTTTAACATATTCACAGTCATCACCACGGTCAATTTCAGAACATTTTCATTACTCCAGACAGAAACCCCAAACTCATTAGCAGCCACTCTCCATTTCTCTGCAATATCCCCACCCTAGGCAACCACAAATCTACTTTCAGTCTCTATAGATTTTGCAATTCTGGGCATTTCATATAAGGAATCATAGAACATATGGTCTTTTGGTTTAGCTTATTTCATGTTTCCAAGGTTCATTTATGTTGTGGTGTATATATGTACTCTCTTCCTTTTTATTGTTGAGTAATTTCCATTGTGTGAATATACGACTTTTTGTTAAGTCATTCACCAGTTGATGAACATTTGGATTTTTTCCATTGTTTGGCCTTTATGAATAATGCTGCTATGAACATTCATGCGTAAGTTTTTGTGGGGAAGTATGGTTATATATATTTTTTCTTTTTTTTCTTTTTTTTTTGCGACAGAGTCTTGCTCTGTCTACCAGGCTGGAGTGGAGTGGTGCAATCTCTGTTCACTGTAACCTCTGCCTCTCAAGTTCAAGCGGTTCTCATGCCTCAGCCTCCCAGGTAGCTGGGATTACAGGCATGTGCCACCATGCCTGGCTAATTTTTTTGTATTTTTAGTAGAGACAGGTTTTGGCCATGTTGGCCAGGCTAGTCTCGAACTCCTGACCTCAAGTAATCCACCTACCTCAGCCTCCCAAAGTGCTGGGATTACACGTGTGAGCCACTGCATACTGCCAGGAGTATGTTTTCATTTCTCCTGGGTATACACCTATGAGTAGAATTGCTGGGATACATGGGAGCTCTGTTTAATTTTTCAGGAACCACCAGATTGTTTTCCAAAATGACTGCACCACTTTATATTCCTACCAGCAGCATATGCATGCCCCATTTTCTCCACATCCTTGTCAACACTTTTTATTGCCCCTCTTTCTTGTTACAGCCAGCCTAGTGGTTGTGAAATGGCATCTCATTGTGATTTGATCTGCATTTCCTTCACGGCTAGTAGAATACTTACTTTCTATCCTGGTATTTTCTTATACTTAAAAAAAATTAAGTAAAGAAAATGCTGTAGAAAATTAAAGAGTATAGTTATGCTTGTGGCTACTGCTTTCTCTGAGGTTTCACACTTTGTTGCCTCATCATGTAAGGGGCTACCACTAGGATGAATGCGCGCCAGCCTTATTCTTCCAATCTTCTCTCCATTTGTCATTCAGAATCCTGGGAAAGAGAGATGCTTCTTCTGCCGTGAGTTACGTGCCCACCCTTTTGATTTGTGTTTCTGCCTACACAGTGCACAGCATGCGTGCAGGCATCTTGAAAGGAAACTGGGATGCTCCTGAGGGAGAATAGATGCCAAAGTTGGGACAAGAACCCAGTTTCCTGCCTCTAGGTGTAACTCATTGCCAAGGTTGGGAACAAAGCCAACCGTTTGAGAAAACTCATCATGCAGGGTAGTTAGTAAGTGCGTCCTAGCACACATTTTCACAGAGAAAACATAATGAGCTTATATATAATAAGCTTTGTTCATAATATTTAAGTATTACATTTACATATTATATTTAAAGTTACAATATTTTAAAATTTATATATACCCTTGTTGGACACAAAGCATGTTTAAAATGTATGACCTCATTTGATCCTCAGTAATCTCTGTTAGTTTCTAATTATATTCAGTAGTGGTATTGGTGTTGTATGTTTTGGCCTCATTGTGGTTTAAATACACTTTTGTGCACTAGCCTGAGAATGCAACCACCGATACAACGATGTAATGAGAAAACGTGCTCTGAGCTCCAAACAAATGGCTAACAGATGAATGCTCAGAAGTCAACCTGTTGGTAAGCTGGGCAATCACTGGCCAGCAGTCACTTGCCAGCAGGTGTGAGTAGACAGTGGGGAACAGCTTCCTCTCATGTGTGTGGTTCCTGGCTCCCTGAAGTGTTGGCTGCGCATTGTCTCTATGAGTGATGGGAAGGATCACTCCACTAGGAGCAGTTTGGAAAAAATACAATAATTGGGAATTCCGTTAGCATCGGAGGTGCCTACAGGGAGGTAGAAGCATTCATATAACAGTTCTCTGGTGTTCTCTGCCGTAGCAGCCAGCCAGCCAAATGGGTTCTGCTGCTTGAAATGAGGATGGCTGGATCAAAATGGCAGCTCAGGGTTTGAAGGATTCTAGTCAGAGACCAGACATCTTCACATAGAGAGAACTCTGAATGGCTGGGGGAGAAGGAGTCAAATGCCCTGGATCTTTTTCTTGGCCTCAAAGTCCTCCTTCTTCTGCCATCATCCTTCCAGTATTGGGCAGGACCCTGACTGCAGGCATCATGGCCTCTGTGTACTTCTCAAGGGTATGCATTGTCACATAAAAACTACCATGTCCACTAACAGGCCACTGAGGGTACCTAAGTCAGTTCTGCTCATCGCCCAGCCAAAGCCTGTGTTTTATAACATAATATCAAAGACTGCATCTAAAATTGAGATGATTTCTTAAAATAATCGCTTCATTTTGATTTTTCTATTTTAATCCAAGGTATTCTTCAGCGGAAATAAGGAAACAGTTTACTCTCCCACCAAACCTTGGCCAGTACCATCGACAGAGCATAAGCACCTCTGGCTTCCCCTCTCTTCAACTAGTAAGTATGAATTCCAGGTTTACTTAGCGAACAGTCAAGTGCAGAAGTGCCCAGGGTATGTGTTTGCCTCCTGCTCCTTCGATCTTCCTGCCATCACCTCACATTCTCCAACCACCAGATGCTAAGTCTGTGACTGCTTCTGGACATCAGATGATATCCCTCTCTTCCTCTGCCAACCTGGACTTAGGGTGCATAACAGGACTTATCAGAGCTGTGCTTTGGATGTCTCTGGACTAGCTTCCAGGCTACTCAGTCTCATCGAAATTATGGTTCATATTTGGGGGAGACAGGCTAGCTTGAAAACTTACCAAATCATCTTCTTGCAAGTATAATTTACATATAATAAAATTCACACATTTTGGGTATACAATTTGGTGAGTTTGGCAATTTAAAGTCACAGCCTTCAGTCACGACGTAGAACACTTCCTTTATCCTAAAGAGTTCCCCAGTGCCCTTTGACCATCTCCTCTTCCCATTCCCAGGCCATAACCCCCAACTCACACAATCTCTGATTCACTTCTGTCACTATAATTTTGCTCTATCTGGAGCTTCACATCCTGTAATTCGAATCACAGTATGTACAAACCTTCTTTTTTTGAGACAGGGTGTCACTCTGTCACCCAGCCTGGAGTACAGTGGGGGGAACTTGGCTCACTGCAACCTCAAGCTCCCCGGATCAAATGATTCTCCTCCCACCTCATCCTTCCAAGTACCTGAGAGTATATACCATCACACTTGGCTAATTTTTGTACTTTTTGTAGAGACAGGGGTCTCACTATGTTGCCGAGGCTGGTCTTGAACTCCTGGGCTCAAGTGATCCTCCTGACTCAGCCTCCCAAAGTGCTGGGATTACAGTGAGCCACTGTGCCTGGCCCTAAACCTTCATTTTTAAAAACACATTTCCTCTTAAGTTGAAGATTGCCTATGTTTTTATATCAATGCCACTTGTTGAGTGTGCCTACATGTGTTATTATTTGAGCACTAAATGCCAGATGTGTGCCAAGTGAGATAAATCTGACAAACGAGCTGGTTTGTAAAACCAGAAGTGAATATTCACTTCCTTTGTGAGAGAGCTCCAGCCCTCCTGTACTCACTTCCTCACACAGCACAGCAGCACTCTCTTGCTGGTTCTGGTGGTTATCTTCAAGAGGTTAGGTTATTTTTTGTTTCTACTTACTACTTCAAAACCACTTCTGCTCTTAGAAATTTTGTAACCTTCCACTCAGTTTCCGGTAACCGCCATTTTGTCTCCTGTAACAGTTTACACGCCGGGTAACTGTGAATCTTTTAAAGGTATGTTTTACTGGAGTGATTTGTGGTTATTTCAGAAGGATAATTTGTGTGTTGTATCATGAATGAAATAGTAGGACTTAAAAACGTATAGCATCTTTTACTGCAAGAGGTAACTTGCCATGCCATTTCTTCAGAAAAATCTGTTTATGACTTCAGTGGCTTGCTAGACTGCCCTTTTTATTTGTACTTTTCCTGTGTGTTTCAGAATTGCAGAGTATAATAAAAGCATGTCAAGTGCATAATGTGTCCATTTTCAGATATATTAGATGAGCTTTACACCAAGATAAATATGCTTCTTGGTTTAATTTGGTACTAATATATATTTAATTGAAAATTTTAAAAAAATTTTAATTGCCTGAAGTTGTGTTCCAAAATATGCAAAATTTAGTTTAAAATAGATTGGATACACTTTTAAATTTTAAACAAGGTAGAGGGTTTTAGTGCTTTGCTTTTTTAAAAAATAAATGAAGACTGCAGCTTTCTGCAGCAGTGGCCTTGGGAAATAGTGTGGACATCACTTCTAAGAGACTTTAAGGAAGTTTAGCTAACAGGCTTTAACCCCTTATCTCCATACCAGCTTTTCCTTTTTTTTTTTTTTTTTTTTTTTTTTTTTTGAGGAGGAGTTTCACTCTTGTTGCCCAGGCTGGAGTGCAATGGCGTGATCTTGGCTACTGCAACCTCTGCCTATCAAGTTCAAGCAGTTCTCCTGCCTAAGCCTCCTGAGTAGCTGGGGTTACAGGCATGTGTCACCATGCCTGGCTAATTTTGTATTTTTAGTAGAGACGGGGTTTCTCCATGTTGGTCAGGTTGGTCTCGTACTCCCACCTCAGGTGATCCATCCGCCTTGGCCTCCCAAAGTGGTAGACAGGGCCACCAGCTTTTATTTTAATGCTGCAGCCTTAAATATTTTTCAGGAGAAATTATTTTATGTAACGTTACAAAGGAAAAAATGTTT